AAGACAGGCCATTTTGTAAAGTCCAGTTTTATATTCTTGGATATGGTAATTTGAATGCATGTGCACCACGTCATTGCAACTTGTGTAGTGTTAGGCAGACACAGCTAAAAGGTCATTATAATTAAAATAATAACTATGTATAATGTTATGAGATTTAAGCTATTTAGACTAAACATTTGTGTTTTTGTGTTATAAATTGTGGTCATTCTAGAACAAAAAAAGCATAACTTGTATTTATTTCCTAATTTTTTTATGGTGGTTAAGAGATCGGTTAAATTTACCAAACCCGTACAGATTAATTACTGAAAATAACAGATAAAATAGTTTTTTTCTTAAGAAATGTTTGATAACTATCCAGACATTAAAGTTTTAAAATGGTGATTGAGGTCTAGGTGCTTCAACAGGCTGAGGACATGCCTGCACAGTAAAGAAGGGGAGAGAGGCTGCCCAAGTCTGCAGGTAAGGAAATTCCTCGGCCCACATGAAAGAAGCCATCTGCCGATAATGACGCACCTCCAGCTGTTGTCATGGGCTGTTGAATGCCAGAATATCAGTACCAATTGTATTTCTAATATTACATTGTGAACTAATAAATATTGAATGACTACCAGTAACTGAGAAATAGAATTTGCAGTCAAATAATGAAATCCAACTCAACAGTGGATTATAAACAATACCTTGAAGTGCAAAAATCAGTTAATGTATATTTTCAAAATGCAACAAAGAAAGAAAAAAAATGTTTGAAATCATGCACTAGGTTGTAACACTATCATGCTATATCTAAAAGTGAAGATTAGATTCAACTGCATAGAGGAAGTCAGATGTGATGAAGGCTTGTCACACTCCTATTGGTGCAGGACTACCTCATGCTAATTTGCATGCTTAAACGTAGCTGAAACACATGGGAATTTCAAGGGTAGTAGTAAGTGAAAAATTTGCATACTAGAGGGCAGTCAAATTGAGAATAGTTGTAGCTTTGAGGGAGATAAGTAATCATATTGGAAGTTTAGATGAAATAGCTTAAATCTCGTAACATTATACATTTATATCTATTTATTAATTTTATTATATTGACCTTTCACCCGTGCCTGGCTAACAATACAGTAGCACCAACAACGTGACTCACGTTCACTCGTTACCATATCAAATAACAAAAAGGTGACCTTTGGTCTGTACAAAGTAACTTGTCTTGGCTGTGTTTTAGTCGACTAGTATTTTGTAAAATACAGTCACATTTCAATTATTATACATTATATATGTATATAGATTATTGCTATTTTGAAATAAGTTCTTAGTTATTTTTCCTAAAACATAGAACAATAAATAAAGAAGTAAAGCAAACAATTATCTCTTCTAGTTATGACCTTTGTACTTGGTTGCTACTTTTTTTCAACCCTTTAGCTTATTTTGGATGGAATGCTTTGATACTAGACACTTAATGTAATACCAGTGATAGTATAATTGTTGGAAATATGGATTTCTATTGTTAACTTTTAGGAATTATTAATCTAGAGTTACATATAACAGGAATCTGTCTCTATATTACCATTTAATAGGATTCAGGAAGAAATCAAATGAGAAGACGATCATCACAGCAGCAAAGTCCTGGTGCTGGAGGTCAACGACGGAGACCAGCACAGCAGCAAGGACCTCGAGGAGGACAAAGAAAACGGCCAATGCAGCAAAGTCCTGGTGGAGGTTCTCGTCCTAAACAACAAAACCTTGGTGGAGGCCAAGGACAAAAAAATCGACAAGAGAGCAAAAATGAGGGTGATGAAAAAGAAGGACAAGAAGTTTACAATCCAGCTAGTCCTACTAGTGATGATGCTGAGCAGGTACAGTTTTCGGGTCATTGAAATATTATTTTTTTTAAACTGTTAAGGGTAATAATCTTAGAAATGTATTTCATAAAACTAGTTTTTTTAGGATATCAAGAAATAATGAAGTATTCTGGATAAGTTAGATATCAAAATAAATGACTGTTGTATTAGTCACTAAAGATACAAATATCATTTATTGAGTAGGACATTCAGTTTAGTTTGTGTAAGTTTGGAGCTAATTTTTCATTATATACATATTGCAGTCTTTCCACTAGGAAAAAAAAATCATTCATGGTTAGTGTTTACTGATTATTTTATGTGTCACTATACAAAGTCAAATGATCATTGTCTGACTCCTGTTGACTCTTAATAAACCTGTAAATATACATATATTAATGGATTAAATATGCCCCATGGAAAAAAATATTTAGGTTGTTTTATTAAAGTAATGGCCATTATTTCCATTTATAACTATATCCAAAAGTGTATTTCATAAGATACTCTTCTCAGTACATGCTTTACTGTAAAAATGTGTAATTTTAAAGTTTTTGAAACACTAACTCATATTATTCCTAAACAACTGTGATCTGTGTCAGTACCTCCTATAATATTATACTTTGGCATGTTTTACATTTTGACAGTAAGGTAGGGGGAGCCTACAGCTAATTACCTCCATTCATGTGCCGAACCATGAATCTAAAAAAATGATTCATTTTATCTGTGATAGATTGACTTGTGTCTGTGCTGGTCAAATATTTACCAGTTACTGAAAATGCTGTATTGAAGATATAACTGAAAGCATCTCTGCTTAATAATAGTAATATAAAATGATTAAATATATTAATACTTTGAAATTGAATTTCATAAACGTGTAAACATCCATGTAATTCATGATGAGGCACAACAGGCATCAAATCTACATCAGCATAAAGAACCATATTAAAACAATGAGGGTGTGGTAATGTGACAATCTTGATATTCATTTGGTAAAGAGTAGCCCAAGAGTTGACAGTGGGTGATTTTGACTATCTGTCTTCCCTCTAGATTATTACTACAAAATTATAAACAGGTAGTGCATATAGCCCTGAAGTAACTTTGTGGGAAATTTAAAAAAATATATACAAGATAACTTTAGTTGACAATTATATGGTGTTATTATTTTGAACTTACTTTTTGTGAGGATCTTTGTGTTTTATAAAATTTTGATTTGAATTATGTTTGCTCTGTACTTAAATAATGTCTTAAATGTTATTGTCTACAGTTATCCTTCAGGGGACATTCAGCCTGTATCATAACTTAGTATGACAGAAATTGTAGGTTATGTGGAGTATATAGTATATTCTACTGTTCCTGTTTAACCTTATTGTTGCTTATTATACCTTGTTAGTACTCTTTATTTAAAAACTGTTTACAGTGTTCATCAACAAAGGATGTTCAATTCACTGATAAGAAAAAATGCTTTTATTGTTTTGCCAATTTATAAGCTGAGGGCAATGTCATAAAAAATACTGTACATTTTAAATATGAAGCTGTATTTGCTGTTTGACACTTAAACAAGTAATAATATGGAACTTTGTTAGCAATGATAATTTGTATCTACTATTCAGTCTAGTTGATATGTTGGTGCTAGGTGGGGCTATGATAGATATTTTAACTTCCAAGATATGTTTAGGTAGCATATAGTGGTTTGGTGTTGTCACTTATTTTTAGGATTAATCATAATACTGTCAATAGTATATCCTATCTTTATATACATATTTTACAAACTCTTTAATGTTGGGGGATTCTCTGTGATGCTCTTCACATGAAGTCATAGCACTGGTGAGATAGTTTGAGATTAGTATTTTGGTGAAATGGTCTTTATATGAATTTGGAAATTTTACTGTCTTGCAGTGGATCTCCATTTCATATTGGTTGTACAGAAAAATAAATATAAGTCTCTTGCTAGATTATATTAAAAATAGATTGATTGATATATTGATTTTAATAGTTCAGACATTGTATTATAATGTGTTTGTTGTGTGACTAATTTTTTCTTTATTCAGTGTGATTTTCTTTATACAGAATTCTTAAGTTTTTTAATAGACATCACAAGTTACATCTTGAGTTCAAGGAATAGTGGTGTTTGTAAACATCACTTATGGAGAAGTTGCTGCTCTCAAAGTTTGAAACAGAACATTGACATTAGATGCATATCTGATTCACAAGTAGTGAAGATCATCTTCATGAAGACAATTTACTTTTAATGTTGGTATGTGACATGACTACCATAAAAAGGAAAATATTAGGAAAAAGAGGTGATACAAGTTATTGCAGTTTTATGTATGTGTACATCAATATTGGAGTGAAAATCCTAACTGCAGAGATTTGGGTGAAGTTACTGGTTTACTTTCAATGTTTCTCAGATGTTTTTCAAATATGAACAAATCATTTAAATAGTGTTAGTGTACTTGTTCATAGCATCTAACTTTGAACAATTCTTATGGGGAAATGTTTAATAATTCATGAAGAGTTTCCTCTTGAAGTTGCAACAGAAGCAATGGTGATGATTTATTTTTAGTTGTAATCTGTTTGTGGTGAATGTGTGTCTGAAGATAAACATTTGTATGGGGGCAGTGTATCTCAATTTTCACACTGTCATGGAGAAAATCTACATAAAGTTAATATCTTTTTATTGAAATTATTGGCTGAGGTTACCTAATCCTGTAGATGCCATTATGCAGTGATTATTACCCAGTTAATGAACAAAGCCATGATGGTGGTGCATTTCAAGTTGTATCTCTTTTTTAGAGAGTATCCACCTGAAATCTCACCTTTGTATGGAAAAGATCTGTTATTTCCAAATTGCCTCCCTTAACAGTCTTTAACCTGTGTATGTGGTGTAGGTATTTTGCCAGCAATGGAGATGTCTAAACTTTTTCTAAATTGAAGTGATAATTATGTGCCAGTGGTGAAAATAAGGTACTTATAAGTTGTATTATATAGTGGATACTACTTGTTGGATGCTGTGAAAGTTAGTGGTGATTTTCCACTGTATTGTAGTGCAGTACAACATAACTGTGTTATGTCCACTTATTTAATATGGTCTAATTTAGACCCCTTTGCCTTTTTTTTTAATTATAATAAGGCAGAGTTCATTACACAAGGGAGGTTTTTGAAAAGGTAAGACAGTCTTGATTTGTATTACCCTCAAATTTTCCTTTTTCTTGTGATGATGCTGTTTGAGTTATATTGCAAACCAGCATCATCCAAAAAATAATATTGATCAGTGTGAGAATTTGCTGATCAACCTGCTCAATCACATCATCACAACACACTTTTGTGTTCTTGACTCTGCATTAGCCACTTTCTCTTTTCAGAGATTCCGAAATCAAGTGAATGGCCAGAACCAAAATATAAGCACGGACCAGCAGGCAAAGGGCGAGGTTAAAGTGGCCAACGAAATGAGGTACCTTGAATTGGTGCTTTTAGCACTTTGGTAGACTCAGCTCTACTATTTTTTCTTTTTAAACCAACTTGATCTTCTAGGTTATCTCACTTTTTGAGATAAAAGGTAAATTACTATGTCTCCTCCAAGTGGTTTTATTTTTTGTAATAAGGTTTAAGTGAAATTAACTTTTCTGTTAATTGTCTACTTGTTTATGTGCATCATTATTTATACTTCTGAAAATGAAAGAATAATATGGGATAAACAAAATGTATATGTTGTTCTGTATTATATCACAGTAGTGGTATAAATGTTGTCAAGTTAAAGAAATCTTTAGGATACTTAATTAAAATAATAATTGTCAACGTTTGAGCTTGTCAAATATAAAACTATGACTGATGCAGCTTCAACTCAGTTTTTTTTTTAAAAGCATTACTATTCCTACAACTATATTTTGACACTAAAAATTTTGCTTTTGCTAACTGAACATTGACAGTTGGTTAAGATACCTTTATGTGATGAATATGCAGCTGCTAGCCATGAAAACTACTGTTCAACCATACATCCTGGAAAGTACCATGTTCTTCATGTGTGACCGCACAGTGCACTTTGTATATGCTTTTCTGTAGAAATAATTAATTCAAACAAATAATTTTTGACTGTAGTGCATATAGTGCTGATGCATTGGCATGTTTTCTATGCCTGAGAATTTGTGGCAATTAGGTTTTTCACTTACAAGCATTTTTAGATGTAATGGAAAAACAAAAAATTGTATAAGCAGCTGTCAGGTCAAAGTTTAAGGGTTTCTTTTCTTTACTTTTGCAACCACTTGTGGATATGTACTCTAAGTTGCTGTTTTTTAGGATGTCTGGTAGATACTGGAAATTCCTTTTTTCTCCACGTATCCTATCTATTAACTCGTGGTAATCTGGACAATTTCCAGTGACTGAGTTTTCAGATGCTCCTAAGACTGTAAATGCATAACTTTTTGCATACTTGTATTAAATTATTTAGCCAGAATTACAGAACACTCATAGCATTATTCATTTCTGGTTGTATTGAAGTTAAAGAGCAGAGTAGGAGTCTGTGCATGTGTTTCTGTCTAAAATTAAAGAAATCCTGAAGACACTTTTAAATTTATATACAATGTAAATGGTCTCCTTGTAGGAATAATTGCCCCCTCCATTTTTTTATTTGAGAATTGATAGTGTTCTAGACAGTGCTGTGTGGAATTGAGGAACATGCATTAGTTTTATTTATTAACATTCAGTACATGACCATTGTATAATGAAACTACAAATGTGTATTTGCTTTTCCTCTTTTCTTATGCCAACTGACATTTAGTTACAAAATGTTAAATGCTATTGTTTCTATCTCTGTATTTTTAAATCAAATTTAAATTTATTCTGATATTTTTTTATTGGTGTTGTCAATAAGTGAATCTGATTAAATAGCTGACTGTGCTATCTTCAGCGAGCTGAGTGCACTAATCTCAGTTGAATTGAAAAACACTTTATTGTGAGTTAAAAATAAGCAAGTTATAAGAAAATTTGATGCTCGTCTCATTAGACATGGAGTCACTTAAATAACTACCCACCATTCGTTTTTTAATTCTGCCAGAATGAAGGTTGTCTTTCTTATTATTTATTGTAATTTTTGCATTGATGAGTATTTAATAATCATGGGAATATGAATGCAAAGAAGCTAATTACTTTAAATATAGCATGCAAGGAAAAACCAGATAGCATTTTATTTGCTTGTTAATTTTGTGAAAAGTGCAGTTGATGGATTTGTTTATGAGAAAAGGAAAATTTGCTTATTTTATTTTAAACTTTTTATTGTTACAAAACAATTTGTAATGGAGGAGGTTAAGATTTATTAAAAGTTACATTATTACTCTCTTAAGGTATAAAGTTGTGATATCAGGCTCGAAATTAGCAATGGCTTTCAAGGTTCTCTGTGATTTCTTTGCCAGTTGATAAGCAAGGCATGATTATGAATGCTCAGACCAGTTATAAAAAAAAAATGTTTGTAGCAAAGAACATTTATGGGGAGAAATGCACAACATTAATATATCAGTAAGGTTTTTTTTTCTGGTGGCATGTGCAACATCCTTGCTCATCTTTCATTTGAATTTACTAGGATTAAAATAGAAAATAAAAATAGTGTTCGAGAGTCATTTAAATTTTCCTATTATTTTTTATTTTGCATAGGGAATGTATTTATCACAAACAGATAAAAATATGAGAGTATATCAAAAAAATATGAAATCAAAAATGAGAAGATTCTGGAAAATTCAAATCAGCTGATTAGTTATATTTATCAAGGGCATGGGAGTTGTGAATAGTTTGTTTTCATGTTTTTGCTATCTTGTCGCATTTTTGCAGATGACCTTTGAAGTAACTGTCAAACATTTGTCAGTGGCCAAAATAGCTAGTTTCAAGCCCTGATTGTTCTGTTAATCTTTCTTGCAATTTTGTTTACACTCCAAATAGTATATTGTAGATCTTGTAGTGAGGTTTCTTTTAGTTCTCTCTTTCAGATTTATAGCTTGTTATTCCTGCTACACTGTATTGATACTTTAGCATATTTCATGAGAAACCTAAATTAATTAAATATAAAGTGTGAAGATAGCTAAAATGTTGATGTACTTGTCTAATATTTATATATATTTCTACTGAAATATAGAAGAAGAAAGGGTCAGGACCGAAATACTTTCTATTGTACTGTATGCGAACGGGAATACCGTGGCAGCTTTCTTCAGCACAGAAAGACCAGCAAGGAACATAGAGTGCGTCACCTTTTTTATTTTATTTTTTGTTTTAATTTTCAATACTTACATGTGCATTCTCTAACTTTGATGGGGATATTTTTAGTCTTTGCAGTTTTTTAAAACTTTAGACCTGCAATGGCTTGTTTTTGCAATTTTTTGTTATTAAACACATTGTCATTGTTATTCAAAAAGCTAATTAATGCAACATTAAAATGTCTTTTAGATTCATGTAATAACTGATATAATAGTGATTTTTTAAAAGCTTAGTATAATTAGTGAGTGCTTGTATGAAAATGTAAATTAAGTAAAAATTAATTGATCCTATTTTTTTGTTTTACCAGTAGTAGTTGTTTGACCCATTTGATTAGATATAGTAAAAAATTTAAATATTGCATTTTTTTAAAGGAACATTAATTTTTTTTCATACATGTGGAAATTATGATTTATGGGTTATGTATTTTGGGGTTTTAATAAGTAATGGTTTGTTGCTGTAACACCAAATATTTCTACCAGGGCCTGAGTGTTGCCTAATGGCTAGGCTGAGGGTTCTTGGGTTTGAGACATAGTGCTACCAAATCTGCTTTGCATTTATAGCTCTGGGTGCATTATTTGAATGACACTCAATTTCATTACTGTATTAAGATTAGTAATCATTTCAGGTAGTGAGTGCTGCTGACTGGGTGTCTTCCTTCTGGTTTGCAGGCCAAAAGTAGGGACAGTAATGCTTGAATGATAGGTCCTTTGACTTGGCTGTTTAAACCATCGTGTGCATAAGGTGGCATTCAGATGAACTAACTGACTTGTAGAAGCTAAAAAGCAAGAGAAAATTAAAATTTTCTTTGTAGTTAATGTAGTACATTAAAAGTTATAAATTTTCGCAATACAGAAAAACCGGGACAGGAAATATCCAAAGTGTAGGTTGTGCAGAAAGTCGTTTAACAGTCAGGCAGAACTTCAGCAGCATCAGAAGACTGCTAAACACAAAAAGGTATATTTTTTTCAATATTTTTGGCTTGTTTACTTTAATTTTGTGTTATTTAGTTCAATACTTGGTGTTTTCTTTTGGAGGGTGATAAGTGCTAATTTTGTTTGAACATAATCATATAGTTGTTGACTCAGGCATTAATATTCAGTTGTTGCTAAATAAGATTTCTATATGTTCAGTAAAATAGCCAATATTAAAAATAGTTTCCGCACATTTGTAGTGGTTGTACCTGATTTTATTTTATTTCTTTAGAAAGTACTTGTACAAATAAATCTTAAACTATAAATATAAAAATATTTTAATTTTACATGCAAATCAACTTGCACTCAGACTAGTAGGAGTCTAGTCACACTTTGATTCTATACATTCACAGACAACTCTTTACTAAAAATACTTAATAAAAAAAAAAGTTTTTTTTCTGCCCAAAATACTTGTGATTTAAGCTTGCCACATTTCATAAAGATACTTACTATTAAAATTTATTGTATGGTTACATGGTGAATGCAAGGTTGGTGGAAGTAACCGAGCCTTCATTGATAATTAAGTGAATTTTTTTACAAGAATCTAAATTGGGTTGTTAACTTGCTTTCTTTTTTTTTATCAGTTGTTAATATTAACTTCAAATCAGAGCTGGTTTCTTAATTAGACTAAAAATAAAAATCAACCCATTAATGAGTATAGCTAATTAAATATATTCATTTTACATTTCTATTTTTAAAGATTAGAATGCATTGTTTTTAACTATTTTTGGTGCTAAACACTAATATTTCACAAGGTTGGCTTAAGGAATTTTAAATTAGACCTAAATCCATAACTCAACTAAACAGTCCATAATAATCTGTAGTTAAAATGTATTAATAAAAATGGGTTAATGAAATTAACTATAAAGAAAAAACAATATACTTTCTTTACAGAACTCATAAAGGCTAGTTGTTAGTTTCAAGTACTGTCATAAGTCTAGTGTTTGTTGAACAATTCAACACTAGTATAACTAAGTATAAGCAAACCTTGCACAGTCCTCCCTAATAACATCTTGTGGCCATTGAAAGCCCATTTGATGGCTTTGACAGTGTAACTTAAGAAAAGTTTAACATCTGAGGTAAATTATTGATGCTGTTACCATTTAGCTACTGATGCTGTTGAAGTAGTTTGTTAGTTAATTTCCATATTTTTTTTTATAGAGCGAAGACAGTAACTGGAATGATGAGGTATGTAATTTAAAATGTAGGTTTTTTAATATAGTTTGTTGCATGTTAACTACTTGATTTTTTTGAGAAGTCAAACTCTTCATGATAAACCTGAAAACAATTTCAAATTAACTTAATCAAATACAAACAAATTTTAATTTTATTTCGGGAGGTATTGCTTTAAAAAGAACTGAGTATTTCTTCTTGAGCATCTATACATTTTTACCTTGGATGGCAATTTAGAAACTGAAACCAGTTTTGTGGTGTATGAACTGATTTTTTATTACATTTCTGTACTTCAATTTATATTAAAAGCAAAAAAGATTTTAAAAATGTTCTTTTTTTTCTTCTATCACATAAGGATTATTCACAAATCGGGAAGAAAAACTTCCTTACATATGGAATTATTACTTAGTTTACCACAAAGAAAATTTCTTATTATTATCTTTGTTAACAAAAATATAAACAAAATGAATTAAAGGGAAGAACATTGATGTCAAACAAATATGCATCCTCATTCATCCTGATTTTTTTTCAGGAAATTTAGTTTTTAATTTCAAACTACATGTTGTTGTCTTTCTTTTATGTATTGTATTACAACGTTTTGTGAAAAATCTGTATGTGATGGAGAAAAATGGATGTTTTTGGATTCATTGTACAGAAATTACTGTAAGACATGTAAAAATCTCAAGACAATAAAACCATTGCAGGCCTGTGTTATCAAAGTATATTTAACCCTTTACATCCTGGTATTTCATAAGTGTAAATTACGTCAAGAAGTTTTAAAAAATTCTACCTAATCTCCCCTCAGTTTACTTACAGAGTAAGTAACTGGAATGTTTGGATTTAGAATTTTGTATGATGTATATTTATCACCTCTGCCACCAAAGGTGGACAGAGGTTGTTTTCATCCCCTGTGTGTTTTGTCAAAAAGATTTCTCAAAAACAGCTGAATGGATATGGACAAAAGCTGGTATACATTTGAATTATATACCAACTTAGAAGTGATTAATTTTTGTAAGGTCAAGGTCACAAAAATCTGCAAAATTTGTATCTGTTAACTTGGGACTGATTTTTTTATTCTGTAATTCAGTCAAAAATGATCAGATTTTGATGAAATGTATGCAGAAAATTATTCTTCATTGTCCTGCCAAAAATGGTCTGCATCCATTGGTAATGATGGACATATGGACACTTTCTTATTTTTTGAGGGCCAAATATGATTAGTGCTGCTGGCAGTGGTATGTGCTCTGCTGTGTGCCCCACTAGTTAATATTTATTTTGGATAAGGTAATAGAAAAAAACAATCCTGCATAGATAAAAAATCTTATCTTATTTCAAGTTATAGCTTTTACAGTAAGCTACCGATGTCAGAAGAGTTGCTTAAAAACCCAAAAAATGTGTTAGTATTTAACAATCCAATCAGTTTTTTTTTTGCAAGTTGGATGTACATGTCAGATTGTTTTGTATCTTCTGGATTAAACCCATTACAAACATTTTTTTAAGAACTGGTAATAAAATAATACTTGATCGTTAAATAAGCTTAATACTTGTCAACATATGAAACACATTTGCAAATTTGTGGTTTTTTTGCTTATTTCTGCCTGAAATAGCTTGAATGTGGTTAATTTTGGTGGTGTTAAACTAAAAATCATTGATGTGTAGACTTAGGATTAATTTCTTTCTTATAACATGTTTTTGCCATAAATCATAGTTTCCAAGCTTTGTAAGCGACAATCATAAATGTATTAATTGAAAACGAGGATTATCTTCTTCCTTATAATTGTTTTGCCATAGAAAATTCTTTCTTCAATAAATGGATTATTTTTTTCTAATTGTATATGAATTACATTAGAAGCCTTCCTTGATTGCATCTGCTCGAATAATTTAATTCATGTTTAGTATTGTTTTAATACTTATCCTGTATGTTTGTTTATGTTGTTGAACTAATTACTTAAAACAGTTATTTATCCACCTACAAAAACTGTTGCTTGTAAGTTGAAATTATGGGGCCTTATATTGGACTTCACCCTAACATGGTCTTAGAAATCTGTGGGAGTATTTTTGAAAAAGGAGTACAGAGGGAATTTTTATTAGTAAAAAAATAAAAATTATAAGGTAAACTAAGATAACTGCTACTTATGTTGAGTTTTAATGATATAACATCTTTTCATTATAAAATATTGTTCAACAAAGTGGGATAGTGTGGATGATATCATTTAATAGGCTTCTATTTGTATTATTGCTAATGCTCTGATATCAATAGCTTATTGAGATTATAAAAAATAAAGCAAAAAAATTATTTGTGTGTGTATATGTATGAAGTGCTAATACTAGTATCTCTAATAATTTAAGAAAATTTAACAAGATTTTCCAGTTTAGTGTCATGCTTGAACTAATTTTGCCTTTCATAATAGAAAGGTAAATTAAGAATTATAAAAATTAGTTTTCGGGAATTATATGTTGCATTGATCAGAAAAGATCTCACAAGTTAAGATTTATTAATAAATAAAGTTGTGTATTTTATATTTCTTGTGTATCTGTTTGTAATTTGTATCTAAACAATTCATCCAGTACATCTATGAGCAGGTTTGAACAATTAAATATTTGAACAGACAAAAAAAACTTGTTCATTCATATGATTTTTATCTGTACAAGTTATTGTGTGAAAAATTTGTTTCTTGAAAGAAGAAAAGTTCATTTGACATGTAATAATGACACAGATGTATAGAGACTACACTATAGATAGTTTCATTTATTGGTTTAACCTTATATAGGTTCATTCAGTGGGTCATTGGTAAGTGTACAGAATCTCAAATGCTAAAATGTGGGCTTGTTTCCCCACAGTAGACAGAGTACATATAGCCCATTGTGTAGCTTTGCTCTAAAACAATAATCATTTAGAGTTCCTCGAAACCAATTCAGATGTTAACAGTATTTCATTTGTGGTTTCATATGGAGAGTTTAAGATATGTAGACTTTATGTTGTGTCACTGTTTTAGTATCAAAGCAATCTCTGTAGGTGTTATGACTGTTGATTAAATGTTTTACGGGGGGTAAATATGGGATCTTACTTTGTTTTTTTTTTAAACAAGAAAATGTAAAATTTGACTATCTAAGTCTTGTTTTTGTGCAATACGATTTGTGTAAATGGTGCTGAAAGGAAATCAGTTGATTACCATCATAATACAGCCTTTTTTTTTTATTATAGAAAGAGACTAAAGATGATGAGGTTACTGCCAGTGATTCAGAGGATAAAGAAGAAGAGGTAAGTAATTTTTATCAAGATTAATTTTGTGGGTGGGTCTCCCAGGGTGTTTTTAAAGATTTTGAGAACCTGAAATACACATTGTTCAGAACAGCTGTATTCATACAACGTTTTTAGTGGCTGAGAATATTTATTCTGTTTAGAGAGCTTATTGCAAATGTTACATCTATTGACAAAATAATAATATTGTATATTTGAGCTAGAAGGCATTTGGTAAAAATTTCAGTCAAAAGGATATTAGTGAACATTTTAAAGTTTTTTGGTTTTCTTATGATATTGATATACTTATTTGAAGCTTAAACAAAGTATATCAATTTATTACCACTTCCTTTTTGTTATAGAAAAATGACGAAGATGGAGAAGGCACTCAAGCAGTTGGTAAGTACTTTCACTATGAGTATTTATTGCAACTGAACTTATAAGCATTGCAGATTGTTAATGGAGCAGTGTTTCATCCAAAGTTTTGCAGTATAGTATAAATAAAGTATCTGGACAAAAATTCAGAAATTCAAACAAATTGTTTTGAAACATTCTGAAAATATTTAAAATTGCAAGTTTTATTAAGCTATTTTTATTCTGGCCTTAAGGTTTGTTAATTATAGGATTGAAAAACACCCCCCATCTGCCATCATTTGATTATCTATTATTGCCAAAGTAATAGTTTTATTATTATTAAAAATTGTAATCCTTTTCACATATATACATTTGTAGTATGAATATATATATCTGTTGTAATGCATTGTTTGTAGCATTAAAATATCAAAGCCACAGAAAATGTTTTAATGTTCATCTCATATTACCTGGTATTATTAGAATTTTTAAGTATGCTTTCATCATTTGTAGCATGTTACTATTAACACTTAGGATTATCTGTGTGCTATTTATTAATCATTTGTAGCATGCAGCAGTTACTAACACTTGTTACCTGTGTAACATCAAAGAGATCTTTGTATATTGTTAGTGGGGTAGTTTCATTCAGATATAATATAGAAGATTGAGTTTAAATAAGTTAATTGTAATTATAATTAAAAGCTAACGCTTGACAGAATTACAATTTTACTGGCCTTGGACTGAGAAGTTAGTAAGGATTTTTATTAATTAAAAGAACATGTGAAATTCCAAGTATCAAACACACATTTTCAGAATTGGTCAATATGTGACTTATAGATCATCTTGTCAAATCTTAGTAAATAGATAGAGTTGTGGTTTTTATATGTTCATGTATAACTTAAAACGAAAAAAGGTTGTGACTGGTAAAGAGCTGCATCAGAAATGTTTTGGATTAGACATGTTAAGAGTTGGTAAGAAAAAGTATAGAGACTTGATATAAAATAATAACTTCCCCTGACATGGAAAGAGAGTCAGGGCATCACAACTCTCCTATAGTGTAGCTTGTCATTGGACAGGAATCCTAATGTGGCTACTTACAACATCTCTACAAAAGTGATCCAGAAACACAAATTATAGTTTCTATGCCAGGAATGAGCTGTATTAGCAAATACCAGAACTGCTGATCTCATCTACATCAGAGCTGTGCTGCCCTGCATAAGGCTGCAAAGCATTACAATGCCACTCATATTTTGCTAGTGATATATATGTTGACAAGATTAGAGAAAATTGTTAATTTAAAGAGGGGGATAGGGATCATCAAAAAAGTACAGAAACAAGTTGAATCATGATGCAAAGATTATATTTTCAAGCCTACATACAACTAGGGACTCTAAAGTAAGTAAACAAACAAAGCTGAAAATAGTGTCTACATTATTTTCTGAAGCTACAAATATCTATTTTGACTCCAATAAAATTAATAAGTGTTGAAGACATGGAGTCAAAATAGGGATTTGTAGCTTGACAAAATAATGTAGACACTGTTTCCAGCTTTATTTTAGTCCCTAGTTGTATGTAAGCTTGAAAGTATAATCTTTGCATATTGATTGAACGTGTTTCATACTTTTTTTGATTATCCTTATTCCTCCTTTTTAAATTAACATTTTTTACTAATCTTGTTTTGAAGTTTTTTTATGTCAATTAATGGAGAATAAATTTTAAGCTACATGCAGTACACCACCAATTTTTTCGGCAGCTGATGGTCCAGCATCTTCTCTAATCTGGACATAATTATGATAGCGCTCTTTCGGGACAGGCTACTTATATTTTAAGTAGGTATGTCACTCTCGTGAAAAATTTTCTTAAATATTAAACTAGTGGATCAAATAGCTTGAATTTTTTACAATACAGAATGTTGATAATAGTGTATGAAAATTCAAAATATAATGTACTTAAAAATAAAAATTTTTCTGAAGAAAAATATAAAGAAAGTTGTTGAATTAAATTTTTTTATTTATGTCAACAGAGAGAATTTAAAGATGGCATCATGTGCCTCTGTCCCGAAAGAGTTAATTGTTTACATCTGCAGTTGGTGGTGATCACTTGGTTTTGTGTGATTGTTAACTTATTTTGCTTATATTTAACCCTAGCTATGGCTTCTAAGCAAGGTCTAAGTGACAGTCATGGTGTCAAGTGTAAGCACAAGTCTATATCGATACAAGACAAGGTTGAACAGTTGAAATAACTCGACCGTGGTGTTTCTGTGCGAAAACTGTGTGATACATATGGTATTGGTTTGTCAACTGTTTATGATATAAAGAAGAAAAGTATAATTAGTGGGTCAGAGGTGTATTGTTGAATTATTATGACATGACCTCTGTTGGTCTGGCAAAACAGATCATCAGGCAAGGCTCTGGAACCAAGGGTGCCAGAAAATCTGTGGTATACCTGTACATGCATATGTGTTCGGTTGAATTTTACATTTTTCGGCAGTTACATTGGCTTTTTTCCCACCTAACCACCACACCGAACTTATTCAAAATGTATAACAAATGCACAATAAAGAATAAACAAGTGTACTGGTATGTAACAACAACAAACAAATTGTAAAGTTGTTCTCAAAGACAAAGATTGTATCATCAAAGCACAGATTTAATGACCAGCTTCCAATAATATCACAGTGTAATGTAAGAATAGAAAAGCAGCAACAAGGAAATCTCATTACAACAGAATAATGTTTCTTTTGAGATAAAACAACACAAATTAATGCAATGTAAACAGACTCAGTAACATGCTTACCTTGTTAGGTCTACATGACATGTATGTTCTTCAACAGCCTGCTGTGAACAATTATTTTCTAGAATAAGGTAATACATGTAAAATAGACAACAGGAACACACTTAGTGTAAGTTGACAACATTTACAACCACTACCATAACACCAACTATTTAAAAATAACGATAGCTATATAAAATAGTGCTATATCCAGTGATAATAAATATTGAATACACACTCACTATTTCAGCTCAATAGAAGAAATAGTAGAAAGAACCACCACTGTTGTCTGTGTAGGAAAATCTACTATGGTAATCATCCACTATTGAAAACTTACTGAAATGTAGTTGTGGAAATCCATGTAGAGACAGCAAACTCAAGTGACGATATGTATAAGTAACATCTGGAACTTTTCACATGACAGTTTCTAACTAACGTGCACACTAGTGAAACATTGTGGAAAATGAAGGACTTGGACAATTTTGCAGCACGACACAATTAAGGAGATTGAATTAAGTATAAAACTATTCTGTTTTTTGTAAAATTCCTGTACAATCCCACACTACAATAGATATCACTTGTGATAGTTTAATAGTGGAGACATAATAGTGATTTGTAGCTTGAGGAAACTGTCAACAGTAGATCTCCAGCCTTGTTTGCAATTCCTATTTGTATATTTTCAATTGTCTTGTATGTTGTCTTTGTTAATACACGGTAATTGGCAAATATATGCCTTGAATAAGATACAACCTCCATTAAGCATGTATAACATTTTACCAGTAGAAAAGTAGCCTTTTCAAATAAAACAAATACATCTAAAACATTGCTTTAAGTAAAGCTTCATGTATTTTAAAGCAATTATTTACTGTGGTTTTGTGTAAACACTTTGAGTACAAAGGCAGCTTCTCGTGCATCTATTATATATTTATAAATATATATAAATCAACTTTTAAGTCGGTAATGGACATATACTGTATCTGTATAGGTTTTGGTGCAAAATACCCAGCCAGTTTTGCTGTAGGCTTGTGAAACAGTAATATTAATAATGGTCAGATTTTGATTTTGTCTAACAATTGGGAAATCACTTATTTTGCTTATTATCATTGATTATGTAGTCTTAACTATTGAAAAGAAAGGTTTTGAGTGTTGTTTGAAGAATAATTGTGCTTTATATGGTGATTTTTGATCGAATGTCTATTAGAGTTTAGAGCAAGTTCCTGTTCGTATTTTTTCAAACTTAGGTGTCTGTTTGCTTATATCAAGTCTTTGTATTTATTAATATTTCTGCTAGACTAGTAGTAGGTAAACTTGTTTATTAAAAGCTTCATCATTGGACTGGAAGAAAATTTAAGATTACCAAGTTAAGTTACAAAACTTGTTTTTTTTTATTGTATTTCAGGCCGAAATTATGTTGTGAAAGTGAAAGGATTTTTCTGCAAGATTTGTCATAAGTTTTTTAAAGACTCAAATTCTGCAGCTAATGCCCACTGCAAAACTGAAGAACATCACAAAAATTATGATGTAAGTGCTAATGAGTTATAGTTTCAGTGCCATTATATGTAAAAGAAATGTTTATAATAATATAAAGAAATAGTAATTGTTCTTCTCCTTACTAAGTGTAAAATGCCAACACTTTTATTTCTAAAGATTGATAAAACTATTTCCCCTATTTGTTCATTAATGTAATGCTTAAATAAAGTAATCATTCCAGTTAACTTTTTATTTGCTTATTTTGTTTCACTGACAAGCTTCTCTAGGTTTTCTTTAATTCACACCTCTTTGTGGCATTAAAATAGGAACAATTTAAAGGTATTCTAAAAATGTTAACTTGTTTCATGAATCCCGAACTTGAAATTGTGTGATTTTGTGTCTTTATTTTTGTTTTGACAGGAATAAATGCTGAATGGATGTTTTATTTATCTTTTATCACAGAAAATTCAAGAAGCTATTGAAAAACGAAAAGCTGTGGAAGAGGCTAAGAAAAAAGCTGAAGAAGAGGAAGCAAAAAAGAAAGCTGAAGAAGATATTGAAATGCAACCCGAGTTGAATGGAAAAGAAAAAGCAGATGATGAGGCTCAAGAAAAGAAAGAACCAACTACAGATGAAAAAAAAACAGATGTAGGAAAAGATGAAAAGACTGAAGAATGTCAAGAAATATCAGAGGAACAAAATGAACTAAATACTGCTGAAAAGGATACAATCGAGGTAGACAAAAGCACTGAGAAAGCCATAAAAGAAGAAGAAAAAAAAAGTAAAGCTGATGAGGAAGAAGGAGAAAATCTTGTTTCTTCAAATGATGAGAAGCAGGATAAAAATGAAGAAGACAAAAAACCTTTACACTTGAAAGATGAGAAGCAAGGAGAAAATGAAAAGCCTGTTACTTCAGAATTGAATAAGAACCTTGAACCAGTTGATGTAGACCTTCAGCCACCACCCCAAGAGAAAGAAGATGACAAACAAGCTGAACCAAATCTAGTGACAGACACGAATGAAAATGTAGAGCTTGTTTCTACAGTTTCTACTCAGGTAGGTACCAAAGATAAAGGAGCGAAGGTCACTAAAAGTGAAAATACACAGGATGCTGTTGAAGAAGAGGAGGAGGAAGAAGATGGAGATGATGCTGATACCAGCAAGGAAATCACATCCCCGTCGACTGCTACCAGAAACCGTGGAAAGGCCCGTGGTCGAGGCAGAGGACGAGGAAGAGGAAAAAGGAATTCCTGAGAATGTTAAGTTCTCATTTTGTTCACATGGGAGTTTGCTTTATTCACATCAAATATTCATTTAAAAACAATGACACTTTCCAACTTCAGTTTTTATACTTGTTGCTGTAGTTTGTTCTTAACTTCAATTCTTAGTCTGTACAAACATTGAGTATTACTGTTTAAATTGTTTTTGTTTTCTTGCTCATTTTTAGTTGCATGTAGGGGAGATTAATGTCAAAAATACTGAAAAAAAAACTTGTTTTGTGATTTTGTCAAATTTCTCATCTGTATTTTATGGCAAAATGAGACATTCTGTTAAGAATAATGGTTAAGAGGTGCGTACACAAACATATAAAAGACAAGTGTTTCGTTTAACACTGTACAGTGAAAAAACCTTTGACTTGTGTTTGTGCTTTAGTTTGGTATTTTGACATCTGAATAAGTCGGTGTGGATATTGAATTTTTGTTTTTGGCCAATAAAGAAATGTAAGTTTGTCTGTCATTAATCTCTCGAGTGTAGATTATTGTAATTAATAGATTTTAAATCTTAAAAATTCTCTTACATTTTCATGATTTACAGAATCACAGATGCATTACGTGAACTGCTCTACTTTTATAGAGCAGTGTAAGTTTGGTTCTACTCAGATTGATCTACTTTAATGACCGTTTTACATCTACTGTAGCAAATAACTATTAATGCATACCTCCAGGGTACGATTTGTTCTCACTCCCACTAGGCTATTTAAGCTGGAAAAAAATGACAATTGGGTTTAACTTTTTTTCGTTGATTTACTCATAACGCAACGGAGCTAAATCCGTTTTCCCGATGTCTTTTAAATATCATCAGTGATATTCTTGATGCAAATGAAAACATTGCACCAAAGGCATGCTATGCAGTGGTCCTGGAAAGATATGAAATGAAAAAGGATGCAAACTCCATCGAAGAGTTCCCTGATGACAACGAAATATAAAGCAATATCAGCCAAATCACAGAAAAAGGAAAGGCAAGCAGCTGAAGGAGGAACCCAAGGAGGTGTTTCATTATGAATTCTGTGCTTGACGACATAAGTAGTCATACCAAAGAAATAAAGAGAGAAACGGCCTGGAAAATGGTGCACTTTTCCGGAAAATGTAGCCGAAATTGTAATTTTCAAACGATCATAAAATTTCTAGTTTTTATGTCTTAAAAAAAAAACACCCTTGGAAATATGTTTCGCTGTTATATTGTAGTATTAAATGCCCTATTTGGGTGTTAGAATTCCTCAGAAATCAACAATATATCGGAAAACTTTGCCATCTCGTGGTATACATTACATTTTAAATTGGAAGTATTTGAAACAATGATCAGGAAATGTTTCTGGGTGGGTTGAACCTCCTGCTTTTTTGTTCTTTAACCACAAAAGTATCCTTTCCTTGGTCGTGAAGAATTGTCCACAACTAATAAAAGACACTCCTGATTCCACACCTTGACTGCCGTGAGTTATTAGGGGAGGGGGTTCAGTTTTAAAATGAGTAGCACACATGGACTTGTAGGTCTTTATAGTAAAAAATATGTATATATATTTCTTAAGCGTTAATATACAATAGTTCGTTGTTTAGTTTTAAAAGTGAACATAAGACCGGTTGAACGGGAATAAAAGATCTGTTTGCCTTTTATGGCTTATTACCTTGCTATAGGTCTTACCATAGTCTCACCTGACTTTCCCCCCTCTCCTCAACAAAAATGGCCTTGAGATGCTTCAACATTCTCTTTGTTATTGTTGTAAGGGCTCCATCTGTCACACACATTAAAGAAGATATTTCTCTATGCTTACATATGTATATGTTGTATTTCTGAAATGTGAACTATAAAGCTTTTATAAGGGTGTTTGGAATGGGATATTTCATTACTTAATACAACCGATTATATAAAATAACGTTTTAAAAGTATCTTGAAATGGATGAGTTCTCCAATAATAATCTTTATCGTTCTTATAGAAATCAATTGTTTGGCAAAATTGAACGTAAGTTTAAAATTATATCAGTTAGCGTATGTCGATTGCTCACTTCATAAGAAATTAAGTAAAAATGCACAGAAAAACTATTGACTACAGAAATTTTATATGCATTGAAATTGTCATCAAAAGTAGAAGAGATTTTAAATGTTTCGAAGAATTAAACTTCAATAATATTCAAGTGTGTTTATTAACACACATTTGGTAGTTTTCACACTGCTTCATGTGTTAGTCATACCAGGGAAATTTAACATTCAGAGTTGTCATGGAGTGATTAAATTGCAGAAGAACTATAAAATTAATTGTCTTCAAAGCCTTGTAGGTTATAAATTTGTTATATTGGAAAACATAGTATATTCGAAGTCTTTGTTGTATATCAATAATGTAAAGTAGATCAATGACGATTGAAATATAGTGATTCAACAGACAGTAATAATATATCTACTAAAATGCATAACAAGGGCGGTTTGGGAAAAAAGAAATGAAACCAGCTTGGACAAAACTGTTTTCGAAAAACACTGACGTTGGAATAACAAGTTTCCACTTGAAAATATTAAATTTAAGAATATCGAACTTCGGTGTAATTTTGAACTGGCAGACTAAGCGGAAGGTAGCTATCCAAGGGCAACCTCTTGGGCACTTCTAAGATTTGACTTGTAACGCATCTACAGTCTCGGAGTGCGGTTCGCGAACAATTGAATAAGCAAAAACTATTACGATGCGATAGTGATCTTTTTCAGAATAGAATAAACTTTCACAACATGACAGTAATATAAAAATATTAATATCAAAAGTATCACAACAATTGACTTTATGAAAATATGAAGAATTAAAATTTTGCGACGGTAATTTTCATGAGAATGTGAAGATCAAATGACATGGCAGTAGTCTTCATACGAATATGAGAAAATTGTCACGACACGCAGTAATTTTTATGAGAATTTGAAAAATAATACGTTATGTATGTGTGTAAAGGTGTGTATGTGCTCACGCAAATAATTATATTACTGAACTGTTAACCCCATTAATGTATTATGTCTCCTGCGTACCCTATTTCTTGTGGCAATTTTAATTTTCGTCAGTTGGGAGTTGATTGTTCTGTGTGTCCAAAGACTGACCATGGATTACTGCCGTTCACTTGGCCACTCTTTATACTTCCTACGCTGTTTTCTTCACGATACGAATTTGTACAG